TTATTACACACCCTACTGATTTCTCCCAGACAGTCACATATGTTTTGTCAGCTTTAGTACTTATTAAAACATTGAAAGGAGTTACAAGAGGGTTAGATATAATGAATTTAAAAGCACTTTTATTATCTGCATAATTAACTTTTTTACATATAGTGGATTGAACTCTGTCTCTTTTTCTGAAAGTCACTTTCTGTAGGAGTTTATGAAAGCAGTGAAATGGGCCAAAACTCTAGGAAGAAGAAGAAATAGACTTTATGTGATCTACACACCTAACACACAATGTTTATATAATGAGGAATTTAGGCAAAATGAAATTTATTTCAACTTTTGTGATCATTTTCTGGATACCTGCAACAGAATGCCAAGTTGAATTACTGGCTATGTAATGAGATGCTGAGTGAGACTTTTACTGTTGCCTTGGGGCCCCATCTGAAAACAATAGGCTCCAATACTCTACTGAGTAAAGAGAGCTGCCAACACAGGGACCTATTAATCCCCCAGAGCTCAATAAGAAGCTGTGAAAAACAGGCCCTATTACCCACAATCACACCCAGCAAACAATTCCCTTCCTTTTAGCTAGTCTAAGAAGATTACTTAGTGGGAGGGAATTCCTTTCCCACCCTTTTCCATGAGACAAATTTTATCACCTCCAGAATTCAAATGGATGAGGAAGTTTCCAAGAACATTGTCATAGGAAATGGGTTACTACTCAAGGGGTGACTGGCACCTCATTCCCCAGCTGGGGGCTTGATGAAGTTTAGAATTTGTAGCCACCACCCCAAACCTCTGTTGCCACCAGAGCTGAGAATTTGAGGGAGTTCTTAGAAAAACTTATTTCCTGCATCTCACTTTGAGGGAGTTGAAGAGATGAGCCTTGCAGAAAGATAAGCCAGGGCAGAAAGGCTTAATCAAGAGCCTAATGTGCTCTGGCTGTGTAGATGATGAGTGCCAAACCCATCCTAGTTCCCTGCAGTTAAAGAGTGCCAAGGTGGGCCTTAGTATTTTCCTGGCTCGCTGTGAAGGAGAAAAGATATATGAGAGAGCAAAAACCAAGAAATTGCTCCTGGAAACCACTAGGTCTAATGGAATACTTTACTCAGAGAGGCCCTGGTGGTGGTGGTTATGTGCCGTGGAGTCAGTTCCAACTCATAGCTACCCTGTACAGGGCTTCTGAGGCTGTAAATCTTTACGGGAGCAGAAAGCCTCATCTTTCTCCCACAGAACAGCTGGTAGTTTTGAACTGCTGATCGTGAGTTTAGCAGCCCAGTTCATAGGGTGGCACAAATAGTTTGCTGTTGATGACTAACCTAAAGGTCAATGGTTCAAAACCAGTGGCATCATGTAAGGAAGTTCTGATCATCTGCTTCCTTAAAAAATTATAGCCAAGAAACCCTTATGAAGAATTCTATTCTAACATGAGGTTTCCATGAGTCAGAATTGAGTTGTCTGCAATGTTCTGTTATGTTTTTTAACCCAGAGAAGAAATGGTAACACAAGTAAGGTCGGAGGGGGAGAAGATCTGAGTTAAGGTGACCTTTCTCTTCACAATCATGGAAAGCATCACTGTAGAGGTCATCTTTAAAGCAGAGGATAGTCACAGCACCTGGAACAAAAACAAAAAACAGTCGGGGCAGAATAGTAACGCCTCAGGTCACAAATGTAGAGATCTATAGGAAGGGCTCTTTCTCCCTTACTCTCCACCTTGTCCATCACTTCAGAAGTGTAAAGTATTGAAAAGATGAGGGAGAGGAGATTTATAGAATAAGATCATGACCCCTATTCCACCCCATCCAAGTGGATAGAAAAGAAAGAATGAAAGGGCAGATCATATTTCTTCTCGTCATCAAGCTCCTTGAAGTCCAGTGAGGAAGGGTTTAAACTGTACGTAAAATTGGAACTTCAAAATAGACTGGACTTTTGTAACAACCAAGCCTATTGCCATTGATTACAATAACACACAGTCAGATCTTTCTCCTGCAGAGTGACTGATGGGTGATTTGAACCACCAACTTTGGGGTTAGTGATCCAATCCCTAACCTGCTGTGGCAACAGGGCTCTTTATAACCAAAATGACCAGGAATGAGTATAACCTGCCCAAGATATCACTAAGGGACAAGAAAGAAGAATCAAGAAAAATATAAAGCTGAGCCATTTCCAGACCATGTTCCTATTATCACTACACTACACTACCAGGAGCTCCAACAACAACAACACGGAATATTGGGCCACAAGGCTGTTTAACTGCAAGTTGCGGAAAGCCTCATCTCTCTCACGTGGAGGGCCTGGAGGATTTAAGCTCCTGACCGCGGGGTTTGCAGCCAGGTTTTTTTAACCACTACAATACCAGGCCTTCCTTGAAGATGGCGGATCGGATAGACGTGTAGTGAGGAGCTTGGTCTACAACAACACGGAATACCGGGTCAAGAGGACTCATGAGTTGGTGTTGGAACTCTGTAACAAATATAAAGGTATGTTTGGAGGTTCGGAGGGTTTATAGCTGGGGAATTT